GGTGATGGGATATGTCAGATATGGATTTTTACATTGTTACATCTTTATGGACAGCTGTGTGAAAATTGTTCATTATTTTCATTGCAAACGGCATCTTATGAAACAAACTGGAGTTTTCTCTTTGTGTATTAACCCATTAACGCCAGTATATTTTGAAGCCAAAAATAAAAGATTCCAGGTGGCTACAAAATCGGCGTGCGGGGCTAGCCCGGACTCTGCCTGCGTGCCGGCCACAGCCCGCTGCTGTGTCGGAGCGTGAGCCCCAATACAGCGTCACACCAGCAATTTTTAGTGGGTTAAGATTTTGTCAACAGAGTTATTCCAGAGTGTGTATGTGAAACAGATTTATTTTTTCGGGTGTCTCATGTGGGACACCCGTTTAGTGGGTTAAGATTTTGTCAACAGAGTTATTCCAGAGTGTGTATGTGAAAAAGAACTGGAATTCATATGAAAGGCCTATATCCATTTATAATTGTTAATTATAATTTCATTGTCAAATAAAAGTCTCCCTGCATTTGTGTATTTTTCCAATTACCAGTTTTGGCTGGAGCAATACATCTTTGTTGTTATAAGAAGGGTCTTATGAATTGCAGAAACATGTTTAGTATAAAAGAGTTATATATTGTTTTTGGGCATTTTAGAGAAAGTTATGCAACTTATAAGAACCTTTGAAAGAATTCAGAAACTCATGTCTTTAGGGATTGTGCTGGTTTGTGGGTCCTCTGGATAAATAGGATGTTCATATGTAGAAACATGATACTATGAGATTTCCCTTATGCTATGATAAGGAAGATTATCTTTTGGGGATAGTTTTCTGTTTACTATACTTTAATATTATGTATCAATATTCTGACTGTCTTTGAAGATTTGACCTGTCCTCCGTTACATATTTACTTGAAGGTTTGTGAGTACATTGGATTGTGTTGGAGATGGACATAAATAACCCTATATTTTCATTATCACCAGTTTGTTAAAGTTATACATTGATAATGCTTTTGCTTAGATTATGGATTTGAATATTTTCACCAGTGAACAAAAGAATCTGGTTGGTTTATCAAATGGGTACTGCAAAGAGAATACTGCTCACTAGTGGCCAAGGTCACATAAATTTTATTAATGACATTTTGTCTTTGATATGTGATTATTGAAAAATATAGTTCATAAGGTGTACTTGAATATAAACTGATATGCAACCACAAGATAAAGAAAATGGTTGATGATATTTTAAATCCAACAAGGACTCCTCGTCAAACAAAGCAAAATATGAAATGTGATTTGTTTTTGGCTTTGTCTAAAGAGTAATCCTAGTGGATTCCAAATGTCATGATTTGATTGTTCTTATGTGAGTTTCATTTTCTTTGTGTACACAAAATGGAGGGGGAAGAAGTAATGATCCTTTACCCATGAATACAACATGCACTTTTGTTCTATGCAAGTTATTTTGGTATAATAACAGTTTGATGGTGTGTAATTGTAGGTTAATGGTACCAGTGAATTAACAATTCTCAGTAGTTAGATTATGCTTTTTCTGCTTCAGTTGCCTTCAGAATTCTTTTTTTTTTCACAGGAGTTCCATGTTACAAAAGAATAGTTTACATGCTTTATGCTTGATGGTTTGATTTTAACAATGACAAGCACAAAGATCATGTCTATTGGAACTAACCAGATTCTTTGTGTGTATGAAAGTGTGATATCTTACCGTTGTTTTAATACAGTATAAATCGCTTTTTTCAGCTTACTTTCTTAGACATGGTAATATATATTGGACTAGTAGAAAATGACATCTTTGGAGTACGGTAAGTGAATGCAGTCAGCTTGTATTTGCATGTGTAACTGACATAATTGATTAATTTTCATCAGAAGTAAGATATTTTTGATGAGAAATAAGTTTGACTTGTCTTGCTACTGCATGTTTATAACATGTTTTTTCTTCTTTAACAATAATTTTTTCTGCATTTCTGTATCTGAATTTTAAATTGACATCTTGAGACATTTTGAAATGATTAAGCTGTTATGAAGATATTACTTTAAGTAATTTTTATTTCAAATGTGTTAATACGGGATTTCCAGGTGGTCAAGACCCCTGAGACCTCTGTTTGCTGTGAATTTCCCAGAGATGAAGCAAATCAGGCGGTCGTTCCGGAACATGCGAAGAACACTGCCAGATGTAGTCAATGTTCTTGTTCTCTTCTTCTTCAGTTTGGCCATATTTGCACTAATGGCCTTTAAGCTGTTTGGTGATAGGTCAGGATAATAATTTTTTGTTTATTTTTTTTAATACACTAAGTTATTTCTAAACAAAAACATACTGTTTATATCAAAGTTTGTGTATATCTGATGGGTAAAGATGTGGGTATATCTGTAAGTACATGTGGTTATGCAGATACCTTTACTTTTGCTACATTGCACATATGTAAATTCAGAGTAACAGACAATGAATGTAAAATGTATATAGATTTTTTAAAGCCCATTCATGCCAGGGATGTCATATGCATCGGTC